AACAACTTTTGTTGTTTTAATCCACTGACACCTCAGGATTATTTACTTCTAATTTAACCTATGTTAACTAATACTTGATTTCTCAGAAATTGAATGAGAGGCTATTTTACAGATTATCTAGTTTTTCAGTCTTGTTCCTTTGCCTAAATATCATCTCCACATGAACTCTTGCATACTCACATTCTCATGCTCATTACTTAGTTTTTAAATTTGTGATGAAATTCACATAATGTAAAATTTACCATCCTAATCATTTTCAAGTAAATAGTTTGATGGTATTAAGTATATTCACACCGTACGGAAGCCAGCATCCACCTTCAGAACTATTTTATCTTCCCAAACTAAAACTCTGTGGCTATGAAACAGTAACTGCATTCTCCCCAGTTGCTGGCAACCACCATTCTGTTTTCTACGAATTTGCCTACTCTAGGTACCTCATATAAGTGGAATTACACGGTAGTTATCATTTTGTGACCAGCCTATTTCACTCAGCATAATGTTCTCAGGGTTTATCAGTGTTGTAGCATATGTCAGAATGTGCTTACTTTTTAAGGGTCAATGATATTCCATTCTGTGTGTGTGCGAGTGTATGTGTGTGTATACACACTACATTTTATTCATCTGTCAGTGGACACTTGGTTTGCTTCTACCTTTTAGCTGTTGTCAGTCATGCCATTGTCAACATAGGTGTACAACTCTTTGAGACCCTGCTTTCAATTCTTTGGGGTGTATACCTAGAAGTGGAATTGCTGGGTTATATGGTAATTCTATTTGTAATTTTTGAGGGACCATTATACTGTTTTCCATAGAGGCTGCACCATTTTATGTGCTTATCAATAAGGGTTCCAATTTCTGTGCATCCTCTCATTACTTTTAAAAATATATCCTTTCTGTCTTTACTTTAGATAAATATAAGTACAAACAATTTGGAAGCTAAATAGTATTTATACATTTTCAAAAGTCCTCTTAAAGGCCTACTTTTCTATAAAAATCTAAAACCAATGAGCAACTTATGAATTTTTATGTATGAAGTTAAATGATCACAAAATTTTATTTTTTGTCACCTTGATTTTGCTTATATAATATCACCTCTATCAGGCCTCTGTTATTACTCTTTGAATTTTTTTCTCTTTCAACTTTACATTTTGGACATTGCATCATTTTTCCCCCCACTAACTGCATAATTTTGAATATGTTTAGCTTGTTTTTATACTCAGTATCAGTCATTTCTCCCAAACTACATAATTAAAATTTATGAAATATTTCAGACATACAAAATGACATATATAAAATATCTTTTTTAGTTTTAAAGCATCATATTCACTTTTAAAATGCATTTCAGATATGTTAAGGAATTATTTGTTGATTGTCTTTGTAAGAAATACGAAGTCCCCATCCATGGAAAAATACAACTTCTGTAATTTTGTACTACATACTTAAATCTGTATTTTGGACCTGCGGTTTTTCTGTACAAAGGAATGGAATAGATGTGGTTAAAAATAAACATAATGCAAAGTGAAAGAAGACAGACACAAAAGACTAGGTATTATATGATTCCACTTACATGTAATATCCAGAAAAGCAAACTTATGGAAAGTAGATCAGTGGTTGCCTATAGCAGGGTGTGGAAGCAGGAAGGCACGAGAGGGCTTTTTGGGGGTGATGAAAGTGTTCTAAAACTGGATTGTGGTGATGGTTGCACAATTCTATATATTGTGCAAAAATCACCAAGTTGTATACTTACAGTGGATAAATTTAGAGGAATATAAATTATACCTCACAGAGTTGTTAAAAGTTTAAAAGCCTAGAAGTACTTGACTTCCATTTGGAATAGATATATTCAGAGTAGACACAAAAACTGTACACTGCCCAAAAACTACTTTGAAAATATCACCCTGAAAGGCTGCACTTGCTGTCAGCGACCTGCCTCCCTTTCCACACAACTTAAGCAACACTGTATGTGTGTTTTTGTTATAGCTGTTTCCAACAACTGATCCTGTGGGTACTTTGCTCCAAGTTCCAGAGCAGATCTCTGCTCATCTACCTCAGCCAGCTGGGCAGATGCCTACACAGCCAACTCAAGTCTCTGTCCCACCCGCCGCAGAGCCAGCAAAACCAGCTCAGGTGAAGCCGGGGATATGCTTTAATGGTCATTCTTTTGGGCAGCTAAAAAGAGCAGATATTAGTGTGGAACACAACCTAATGTAATCAAGTTAATGTCTTGGTAGATTTTGAAGCAAGTTAGAAATTCTGTCTTCACATTTTTAAGCATGTACAGGAAAGATAATTTTACAAGGATCGCATGCAGGTTTTTAAGCAACAGAATAAGTTAATGATGGAAATATTCCACACATCAAAAATTTGGGGCTAATTTCTTGTCAGCTTTGTATCAGATAATTATTACATTTACTGTTTCAGAATGCAGCTCATGGAGTTCAACAGAGACTAGGAGAATCGGATGGCTGTACCGTTTTTGTTGTTCACTCAGGCTTATATTTTTATTAATACTCTTTGCTATCCATGGTTTTTCTCTTTTTAAGTTATTTGTCAATTTTGTGAGGGTTGATTTTGTTAAGTCTTCATATTATAATCTGTAAACTCATTTGTCAGGTGCACACAAACTTTATTAAATTATATTCCTTTGAGAGCAGCCAAGTGATTGGAGGCCCCCCAGTGAGCTCCTGCATGCTGTGTAACTCCTGTGCTCTCTTTAAGAAACCTCAGATACTGCATGCAACATGTGGCCTTACCCTACATGGTTAAAGTAGAACTTTGAGTGTCCATTCATTTATTAAATATTAGAAGTTCCATTTTTTTGTCTAATATTTTAGATGAAAAGAAATAGAAATTAAAGGTCTGATTTTTTTTCTCTTTTGCACCCCAGTAGATCATCTTGTGTTCTACCTTTGGAGATCATGACTTTGAGCATTTCCAATTAGTCGTGGCAGTTACTTTGCTTAACTTTTTCATCCCTCAAGCTTTCCACTTCTGCCCCGCATATGGGAAAAGATACAGTTGTCTTAAGAAAACTGATGGAAAAATTAGATTCATTTTATAAACAACTTAAATTGAATTCATGCCCTCTCATAAGCAAGTGATAGCTATACAATTTTCAGAGAGGATTAGTTTAGCCATAAAAAGATTGGAACCTATGTATGGGTTGGATGGGATTCCTGAAGGGCAGCTGGTTCAGGCTCCACCTTTTGTATTGCCATATGGTGCTCTGGCAGATTTTTAAACAATGAGAAACCTAGCTTTGTGTTTTTCACTCTTGTAGCAGGGAACAGGGGTTTCAGAAATATAAAATGTAAATGCTTTTGTTGCTGCCTTGGAGTGCATGTCCTCCTCCAGCAGGGAATGTCCTTGGGATTAGTATGACCTCAGCTGGAGATGAAGAAAATTGCTGCCAAGTAGATGATTCCTCTGCCAGTGACCATTAGTCACTTCCCCACTTAATGTTTCAGGCAATGACTTGATACCTTTGAATGCTTTTTAGGCTTTGTCTTCAGGATCAGGTTCACAAGAAACCAAGATCCCAATCAGTCTGGTACTAAGATTAAGGTAAGTAGACGTTTTGTTTTGTTTTCTGAATATTCTGCATGTGCTCTAATAGTCTGTGCCTGAGAGTAATTGGATGGAATTGGATTGTATGTCCTCTAGCATCAAGCCCTGTTTGCTTGGTGGTGTATTATATTCCTCAGAAATGATAGCAACAATGTGAGGACCAGGATGTTAGCCGGTGTTATGACTAACTGATGCTCGTGTCTCTTCGTTGTTTCTATGCTAATTGGTGATGAGCTTGTGCATTTGCAGTGTAGCTAGTGTGGTTAGGAAGTGTGGTCTGTAATTGAGGAACAGCTTTTAGGGAAGCAGCACTAACAGGCTTATCTGAACATCAGTCCTATAATTGTGACCATATAAGCACCATGGACTGTGAGATCAACTAACCCAAGAAGGGGAGGACTTTTTTTTTTTTTGAGACGGAGTCTCACAGTGTTGCCCTGGCTGGAGTGCAGTGGTGCAATCTCAGCTCACTGCAACCTCCACCTCCCAGGTTCATGTGATTCTTCTGCCTCAGCCTCCCGAGTAGCTGGAATTACAGGCACATACCACCACACCTGGCTAATTTTTTGTATTTTTAGTTGAGACCAGGTTTCACTATGTTTGCTAGACTGGCCTCGAACTCCTGACATCGTGATCTGCCCACTTCTGCCTCCCAAAGTGCTGGGATTACAGGCGTAAGCCACCACATCCAGGCCTGGGGAGGACGTTTTTATTGTGACAGGTCAAAAAATGCCTTGTTTTTAGAAGATTAAAAGGAAACCTCTAAATGTTTTCGTACTCTGTTTCTGTTTTGCCGCAAGTACCCTAAATTGGTGGTTCTTGGTGGGAACCTATAGAGAGGGCCTGACAGATTGGTCAACAGGAAGTACCATAGGTAGCAATCTGTTCATTTTAACTGCCCTCCCCCCCACCACCAGTAGTTGGATTCAAATTCCAGAGCTTTTTTGTCAGAATAGCTGTGGCTGTTGTATTGCTCTAGTTAGGTCTCTTTCTACTCATAAATGCATTTGGAAAAAAAAAAAATTAAAGTGTCACTTGAGACAACTTAGACCTTTTAAAACTATAGTAACATTTAAAAAAAGAGTTCCACTGAATTGCTATTAACTCATTACCCTTGCACGTATGAATTTCTAGTCATCTTTCAGTAAGGTCATAATTGGAAATATAGGCAGCAAGAGCTCTTTGGAGAATGTGGTAAGGAGAATATCATTGCCCCTTGCCACTAGGAACAATGCATTTATGCCACAAATGTGAACAAAGCAGATTTGGTTACCCTTCCTTTACAGAAGCCTACTCAGTATACCTGGTCTCATCTCAAATAATTCTGAATTACTAGGATATCTTGACAACCTCATGCTGTTTTAATTCTACATAAAGAGTACCACTTGTCTCTTTAAGAAGATTATTGTGACATCTTAATAGTACAAAAATTCTATTTGTAAAATAAAAGACAAAATTCTGTTTGACAAGGTGGAGAAGATACTTGTAAGTGATGTGTACTTAGCTTTTTTGAGAGTAGTTGTAAAGATTGTTATAGAAGTAGGAGGCTGGATTCTTTTATTGGTAAAGACTCTGAAGTTAAGTGGCCAGAAGTGATGATAAGAAATACATTTAATCTAATTTACCATGTTTTTATCTCTGAAGATATTTGTGCCTGGCGTGCCAGTTAAATCACTAAACTTACGCTGAACATTTCAATCTGAATTTTATTGCACTTTCAGAAAGAACAGATTGAACAATTATGTATTAAGCACAGACTAGGTATAGCACTCTTCGGTACTGTGGAAAGATGGATACCTAGAAAAGAGAAAATTAAATGACTCCCTTGATAATCAAGTCTAGGTTGGAAGTTGATTTGAACTATACTAACACAGCTAAAAGCAAATTTCAGATAGTATTTACATGCAGAAGTATAAGTTTATATGTATCTGTATAGAGAGAATGCAATGCATGGGAAAATCATTCAGGGCAGCTAATATTTGAGATGGGTAGTTCTGTTTTAAGCACAATTTCAGTAACACCCTCAAGTATGTTATTCATCAAATAGAAGTAAACTCTCTCCATTGTTTATATAAAATAGATTTGAGTCCTAAGTGAGCAGGCATATCTGCCCTTAGATATAATATTCTAATTTCTATCTTTAACCATAACCTCCAGGGATCCTGCTTAATCTCAGTACGTGGTGGGGTCATCACTGTAACTGTACCTCATCAGTCATGTTTGAATTTCTGGAGTCATGCATTAACTATGCTACCAGTATGGACCCAATTCCTTTCCCTATTTTCTCTGCCTACCCAAATCCTGCCTATGCATTAAGCCCTATCTAAAAACTACCTCTAAAATTTTTCCTTATTATCCCCCTCTCTCGTGCATTCTTTGAATTCCTATGGAATTTGAGGGAGTATCATGTATTTCATCTTATGAGTCTGCCAAGACTGATCACCAGTGGTAGGCAGCGGATTGTGAGCATGTGGGAGTGGGGATTAGGATGAAAACGGCATCCTGTATCATTTTACTCACACCTCCCTTTGCTCATACAGATTTTCCTCTTAGTTTTATATGCTCTTCTTAGTAGGAATAAGGATGGGAGTGGGCCTATAAGAATCTTCTCAAAGGCATGAAATTTTTATATTGATCAGTAGGGGACATAGATTCAAAGGGTTGTAGGACAAGTAGATGGTCATTCTGAATTGTTTTGCTCTGAGCTCTGCAGTGTGGACATACCTGAATAAATCATGTGATCTATGGGAACAAAGCAGTCTTTCTTGAGGCACAGCTTTCTTAATATATGTTGGCAGACTCTCTTTGCATAAATTTGGAAATTCTCATTTTATGCATTCTGCTTTTTTCATAGGAATTCCAAAAAAGAACTAAATGATATTCGATTTGAATTTACTCCTGGAAGAGGTGAGGCATCAAACGGATTAAAAACAAAATCGCTTCTAATTTGTGATGTGATGAAATGTGTTGTGAAGTTTCTGTCCTTTGTGAAGTTTTGCTTTTAAAGGATAATACAATTTTTCCTGGTTTTGGAGAGTATATGAGTAAGATAAAAATGCAGTTCGTTGACTACTAAACACATTTAGAAAACCTTGTAGAGTAATACAGACAGTAATAAATATATAACAGCTCTTCACAGCTTGCTATAGGCCAGGCATTGTCTTAAGCGTTACCTCATTAAATTCTCATAGCAGCCTAGTAAAGAAAAATTATTATCCTCATATTATTGATGATGAAATCAAGGCTTAGAGAGACAAAGTAACTTGTTCAAAGTCACACAGCTGGAAAGGGGTATAGGCGGCATTCAAACCAGGTCTGTCAGAGTCCAAAGTTCTTGCTTTATACGTAGTCCTCCAGGATGGTAAAGAAACAAGGCCTGCAATCTCCTGTCTCTGACAGAAGCTGAGCCCTGTCATATACTGTTTCTGGCTGTTGAACTTCACCTTGAACACAGCGTGTTTTCTTTCTTGCCTTTATTACTCGGTGTTCTAATTTGGGGAGTCGCCAGCAAATATCTGTTCTGTGTATCATGCTTATTCTTCTTGCTGTCTCACTATTGTGAGCAACTAACCATGGAAAGAACAGATGCAGGTGTACAGAGGTGTATCTGTTTTCCTTTTTTAAAGCCAGGCAATGTCACATTTTCAGGAATTAATTTAAATTGCTGGTCGTCTTTGTGAATGTGTGGACCCTCTCTCCCCAGCAGTCTTCCTGTTCCCTCTGAGGAGCTCAGTGTCAAACCCTTGGGAATCAGTACCACTGAGTCGGTTGAAGATGAAGTTAATTGGGGATATTCCGTCCTCATCTTTTTAGTAGTTATACCCATTGCTCAGATTGTACCACCTGGGATAGCTAGATACGAAACAAAACTCCCCAGAATGAAAAATTAAATGATTTTAGCATAAAACTTGGAGTCTGATTCCCAAAGAGAAGAGATTGTAATTTGTTATCTCAATTTTTTGAGAATAAATCATTCTGGTTTTTTAGCCCTGGAGATGTTCAGTATTCAGCATCACGCCACGGAGCTCTGAGAGCTCAGTCCAGGATTGTACTCAAAAACAGGAATTTCCTCTGCATCGTCACTGTCAGTGCTCTTCTGATTGGGCCTGAACCCATCTAAATCACACCATTTAGAAAGTTGTCTTTACATTGAGCTCTGTAAACCAGATATTTGCCACCTGGTTTATACAGAGTCTACCCTCTAGCTAGATCTGTGAGAATTCCTCCCTTGAGACAATCCCAGTGGTAGGAAGTCTGTGTGTGGGAGGACTTCCTGTCTTTTTGGTTCTGTGGATCTAGCAGCTAGCTTGGGCCTAGCTTGGCAGTACTGGTATCCACACTGCTCTGGGAGTTAACAGTTTTAAGCATGCACAAAAAAACAGAGCACTGTCTTCTTTGTCCTTGCAGATACAGCGGAGGGTGTCTCACAGGAACTCATTTCTGCTGGCCTGGTTGACGGAAGGGATTTAGTAATAGGTAACTGCCCATGTGCTCCTGTGTCGCTGTCTATTTACTTAGCACATAGAAAAGCAGGTTTTTATTCCACTGAGTAGATCTGATGGTTCTTGAAATGGTTCTTGGCTTTGCTGAAATTATAGGTAATGGGGACAGTTTCTTACACACAGACAAAATTTCACTTATGAGTTTGCTTTGTGATCTTCAGTGATAGTAAGTGAGAGCACACCCAAGGTCTTTAGGAGACTAGTAGAAATTATGGCAAAGATCACAAGTTAAAGTAGGCTTGGCCATATCTGATCTATTTTAAATACATAATTTTTGTGGCCCAAGTGGAGCAAAAATCATTGGAGATTTAGTCCTAGAAAAGCAGGAAGGAAGAAAGAAGGCCCAGTGAGGCCACAGGTCCATGTTACTGAAGGAGAGAACATGTCTGTAGGCACAGATTTCCTGTGAAAGACCAGGTAACAAATAGTTTAGGCCTTGCTGGCCAGGTGCAGTATCTGTCACTTTTAAACCACTCTTAGCTTGCCAGAGAACAAAAACAGACCACAGGCTCGTTTTTCATTTCTGTCCTTGGGCTTTCTGATCCATAAATAAGCAAATCATACCTCTTTTACCTGCATGTCTTTATCCTAGGTTAATACAACATTTTAAAGAAAGTTAATTTGACAGCGGTGCAAGGTGTGTACTACTTAGAAATGAGTTTAAAAGACCCTTTCATTTGGGGAGTGATTATTTCATCTGTCTGCTTCCATTTTGATTGTACAGAGCATATTCTTAACTACCATTTAAGCTTTTAAAATATGGTTGAAATTGGATTTATGTGACTTCTCATTCATCAAACACCCTCTCTGTTTGTATGATTACAGTGGCAGCAAATTTGCAGAAAATTGTGGAAGAACCTCAATCAAATCGATCTGTCACTTTCAAACTGGTATTCATCTCTTCTTCCTTATGAAAACATCTTGCCTTTTACACACTGGCGGCTTCTTCAGACCAGCTTCTATATGCCCTGAGTGATGAGAATATTAAAATGTGGTAGATTGTATTCATTTAGCCTCCCCTGTGCCCTGGGCTGACGTTTCCCTTTGAGTGGTGACTCTTCCTCTCTCCATGTTAGGAAACCTCTGTCCCAGACCCTTGGCTATTCATAAGAGAAACTATTAGCCAATCTGGCTCTAGCTGTTCACCCAGCTCCCCTGCCCTCTTTTCTGGAATAAACACCTTCATCAGTCTCCTAGGGATCTGTTGCTCAGTGCTTACCTCCCACTATTCCATGTCAGCTTTATTTGCTACCTGCAAGTTTGTTTATAAATAATCACAGTTTCTCATTTTGTTTGGTTCTTAGGCATCTGGTGTCGAAGGCTCAGATATTCCCGATGATGGTAAACTAATAGGATTTGCCCAGCTCAGCATCAGCTAAACCACAGCCCTGGAAGAGGTGGCCCAAGGAGATTCCACACATGCGTATCTCTGTTGCTTCTGTTGGCCTGAACCCACTACTGCCAAAGAACCCAGCAACAAACCTCCCAGCTAGGAGCTTTAGAAGTCTTTCTTTATGTTCTTCCTGCCATCATTCCTCCTTTTCCCACAGGGAAAGTCAAGTTGGATCACCAGTGGCCAGCATCCCCAGAGTTCCGTTAGTAAACTGACTTCATATGTCCCCTGTCTTCCTCCATCTGAGAAGTGGCCCATGTGCTTCAAGGCCCAGGAGGGAGATCTGTCAGCTCATTCTTGCCTTACTCCAGTGATGGCCCAGGTGGAAAAGTAGCAGCTATATTGGGCTTCCTCATCCTGCCTGTTCTCCCACACCTGCCAGGATATGGACATCTTGGGATATCTCTTTACCACTGAAGTAGAATTCAAAGTTGATTGTTCAGCTGAAGCCCAGAGAATTTAATTTAGTGTTTTTTCTTTGTACCTGATGTGAATTCTAGCAACCTTTGTTAGGAAAAAGCACAGCCTCAGATGGAGGCAGCCTAAACTGTATTCTTGTTTTGTTCATGGTGTTTCTAAGCGTTTTGCTGAAGCTGCTCTCAGGCACCCCCTTCTTCATTGCTCTCTCCAGAAAGGGTTGCTAGCCTTAACTTCAGCTGGTGCAAAACATCTGACTGTAGCCGAACTTCAGCCACCGGATCCTTCAGAGTGGAACTTTGGATTGTTTTTACAGACAACATCAAGTAATGGCTTGTAAATGTGAAGCCAGAGGTGGTTTTTGAACAGGAAAATCGTAATTCATATCATTGGAGAAGTATTTATTTTCAAATATTGAAGAAAAACTCAATCCTCCCATGAAAATCAGTTCGTCTGGCCTCCAAGTCGTGAGGAAATGGGTATACAAGGCTGGGATTTCTACAGCAATAAAGGAGACTCACACTGGGCCGGAGAGGCCTGCCTTCTGCCTGCCCTCCTGCACTGACCCTTTGGAGGAGGTCTCTGTGTGCTGAAGCTAACTCAAGATGGAAAGTGAAACCACATGTGCCGTGACCTTTAGGTTTTATGAGTAGACAGTGTTCATTTGATTTTCTACAGAAATAATATAAATTATTCTTTAGGTTTAAAAAAGAGCACTCATAATGCAATATGTGAATAATCAGTGAGGTTGATTTTTCTTTTTTCCTACTGTTTCATAGTCAGTCTTTGTCTAACTGCTAGTAACCCTACTGAGTTTTATATATGAGTGGGATACTCGATCTGGCCTTAAAAAGATACACAAAGATGGGCTGTGGGCCCCTGGGAAGGGGGGACTCAAAGATGGGCTGTGGGCCCCTGGGAAGGGGGGGGGAGTTGCCCTTACGGAATCGCTCAAGCCCTTTCCAGCATTGTTGGTCTGATGAACAAGGTTACCTTTTCTCTCAGAACATATCTGAAAGCCTTCCCCACAAATAACTTGTCACACCTTTTGTTTCATTCTGAGCCTTTAGTTTTAGTCATGGGCTTTCTTCACCTGCCCTAGGTGCAAAGGCATGTTGGGAAAGAGATGGACGTTGGGAGAAAGAGAGGGGATGGATTTTGGGAGTTGGGAGGAGAGTAGGTAAGATCAGACACCCAAGTCCAAGGTCCCAACAGTCTTGGTAAAAGGAGGGAGCTTGCTGAGCCAGGAGGGAGAAAAGAAGATTGACCAGCTTGCCAGAAAATTATTTAGCTTTTCTTTTTCTTTTTTGTGGTGGTGGAGAGAAACAAGGATGGGGAGATGGGAGTGAGGTATAGAAAAGAGATAGCATCCTCTTTGGCACAAGACTAGTAGCTTACCTTAGAGTGTGTTTTGTTTTTTTTATTATTTTGATTTCAAACAAACCCATCATAATCTACTTATTTATGAATCCAAGGGGGAGTAGTATCACTCTGTTCTAGCATTCTACGAGGAGATGGTCTGGTGCCCAGCTGAGAGTGAGCAGCAGCCCATCCCCCTGTTCACTTTCTTCAGCCCGTCATTACCTGTGAACTGCAGTGGGGCAGGCATGACAAGTAGAATTGGGCTGAGGTTTTCTGTCTTTTTTCAGTTCATTGTTTGCCCTGCTAGGAATTAGAAGACAGGCACCAAGTCCCAGGACAGTGTTATTTCTTCGGCATGATGTGTGGTAGACTCCCTTTGCTGGCTTGTGCAGTCATACTGAGAAGATACATGAACAGAAACTGCCCACGTGGAACAGCACGTAACCTAGTGAGTGACCGTACTCTTTTCTGGCAGTGCTGGTTCAGAGTGCACCTCTGTCACTAGGTCCCAGGATCCCCTTGTCCCTGGAGTAGGGGCAAACTGTAGCACAAAGTATTATGTGCCAATGCTATTTGTGAAATGTTGGGTCTTTCTAAATGACTAATGGATTTGTTGGGGTTTTTGCTTAAGTTTTGAACCAAATCCTAGAGCCAGCTGATAATATTTAATAATCTGGAGGATAGAATAATGATTACCAATAAGTGGAGATTCCTCCTTACGATGTATGCTAGGTTATGGAAGATGTAAAATATTCAACTTTTTCCTCCTTTTTTTGGACTTTGTATTTTACTGCATGTTTCCTTCCTTTTTAATCAATAAAGAGGACATTGCCCTTAGTGATGTATGGATGCTTTATTTTAGTGGCCACTGGCAGAGAGCTTTGGGTTGTGGGTCAGGGAATCACCACCAGCTTTAATTTTTCATGTGAATAGAAGCCAAAGTACACATAAAGTGTAAAGTGTGTGTATTGATCTACAGACTATCCAGAAGCGCTTAAAGCCATCACATAGCTGGGGAAACTGCAACCCTAAAAGGGAGGGATGAGGTCAACCCGAGGAATTTGATAAGAGTGGGTGATGGAACTCCTTTTATTGTCTTGCCCTTAGCATCTGTGACATATATACATGTGTGTATATATATGTTTTTGTCCATGGTTCCTGACTCATAACTCCCATAAACCCTTGTTATAGTAAACAGAATCTCTCTCTCTTACCTTCTCCAGCCTCCTTTCCTCTGCCCAAGGCAAGACTCTAATCTTAGGTTGTGGGTCATAAGGCCCTCATTCCAGAGGGGAACCTGCCCTCTATCCTGGAGGAAGGAATGCTACACAGTGAGGCCAAGAAGAATCTGAACAGACAGGCCTTGCTGGGTTTAGATCATACCCTTTTTGTACAATCACATTTTGATATGGTCGTCCATGCTTCTATTCATATCATGCCTATCCAATAAAGTCTGCATAAAAAAGCCCAAGAGGACAGGACTGGGGGCTTCTAGTGAGCTGAACACATGGAGGTTGACAGCGAAGGTGAACAAGAATTCATCCTTGTGCTGGAAGCTGGGTGCAATAACACACACCTGTAATCCCAGCTACTCAGGAAGCAGAGGTGAGGGTGGGTTGTTGGAGCCCAGGAGTATGAAGCTGCAATGAACTATGATTGTACTGCTGCACTCCAGCCTGGGCAGCACAGCAAGACCCTGTCTCAAAAAAAAAAAATCCACATGCTATGAGGGTAGTGCAGCCCAGTTCCACGGGGACAGAAACTCCTGTGCTTGGGACTCTTTCAGGCCTCATCCTATGTATCTCTTCATTTAGCTGTTTATTTCTATCCTTTTAAATATTGTTTATGATTAATTGGCAAACATAAGCATTTCCTTGAGTTCTTTGAGCTGCTCTAGCAAAATTAACCCAAAGAAGTGTCAGGGGAACTCCAACTTGAGGTGGGTCAGTCAGAAGTTCCAGAGACCCAGACTTGCAACTGGTGTCTGAAAGTGGGAGCCCCAGCCTTGGGAACTAAGCCCTATGGGGTCTGGTGCTGTCTGCAGGTAGGTAGCGTTGGCATTGAATTGGAAGAATCCCAGCTGGTGTTTGCTACAGGATTGATTGCTTGCTGGTGGGGAGAAGTTCCACGTATTTGGGGTCACAGAAGTCTTTGCTTTTAATTATTGTGTGGGTATGAGAGAAGAGGAAAAGTTGACTTTTCCTAAGAGCATCTTAATCATAGTTGTTTTAAATTCCCAGTCCGGTAATTCCAACATGAATAACTCTTCCTAACTATCAGAGAAGTGAATTCACAGGGCAAAACACTGCCCAAAAACACGCTGTATTTAAGTCTGGTTCTGATCCCTGCTCTGTCTCTTCAAACTGTGTTTTTGCCTTTTAGTATGCCTTGTAATCTTTTGTTGAAAGCTAGACATGATGTGTACTGGGTAAAGGGAATTCCAGTAAATAGGCCTTTGATGATGTGGGAAAGCATGGGGAGAGGGAAAGCATTCTATAGTCCTGTGATTAGGTCTCGGTCTTTTAGTGAGCTTGTGTGTCTGCTCTGTGAACGTTACCAGTGCTTTTCAGTCTCCCACTCCCTCTTAAGTGGGACAGGCTGGCTAGAGCAGGCTTGAGTTAGGTCTTTCTCTTCCCCTGGGTAGGATAGGGTCTGACAGAGGGCAAGCCTGGTAAAGAACAGAACACTCTGGCTTATTTCAAATGGTTACTTGCCTCTCCTTGCTGGAAGCATAAGAGACTTTTTCTCTGATACTCACTGTGTGAACCCAGTAGAGCTCTGGGAAGTAAAAGCCACAGCGATATGGGGGTCCTCCTCTGGAGTTCATCGAGTCTCCAGCAATTCGTCATTTAAAGTTCAGGTTTTCTTATCCTGGTGCTGGTTCCTGCAGAGGTTTCTTGTGGATTTCTGGTCAGGTAAATTCTATTTCTGTTTTTGTTTGTTTGTTTTGTTTCGTTTTTGAGTTGGAGTCTCAGTCTGTTGCCCAGGCTGCAGTGCACTGGCGTGATCTTGACTCAACAGTAACCTCTGCCTCCCCGGTTCAAACAACTCTTGAGCCTCGGCCGCCCAAGTAGCTGGAATTACAGGCACGTGTCACCATGCCTGGCTAATTTTTGTATTTTTAGTAGAGACAGGGTTTCACTATGTTGGCCAGGCTCGTCTCGAGCTCCTGACCTCAAGTGATCTTACCTGCCTCGACCTCCCAAAGTACTGGGATTAGATGCATGAACCACTGCACCTGGCCTTAATTGCAATTCTCTGTATTTACCTGTGTGTCTCTAGCTTTGTGGGCAGTGTTTTGCCCTGTGACTTCACTTCTCTGACAGATCTCAGAAGAGATTCATTTTTCAGTTTGTTCAACATTTTACTTGTTAAAAAAGAGTGGTAACTTCCAAGCTCCTTCTGTGCCAGACCAGAAACCAGAAGTTCTACCACCAGTTTTTATTTAATAGAATCATTACATTGCAAATTTGAAAGAGATTTGAGACACCATCTAGCCCACCCCTGCAGGGTATCTTTGAGGAATGTCTCCCTGTCCCTCCGCCCGCACACAGACACCTCCCTCCGCTCCCTGGCCGTGCTTGCCAGTGGTCTTCCTGATGCTTCCCACATGGGGAGAGTATTCATTCCACTTAAACTGCTCTGCTGGTTAGAAGACTCTTAGCTTTGGCCTTGAATGAAAGCAGGTACCAAGAGAAAGATGAGGAAGACAGCTTCCAAGAGGATACCTCGTCATGGGCCTTGAAGCAGTGCAGAGAGCCTTTGGCATTTTTTACAGGATGCGGTGAGCAGGAAGGGAGGACAAAGTTAAGGGGAGAAAGAAGTAAACCAAGACATTAGGATTAGGGGAATGTGGAGGTGACGTGAGGCCAGCGTCATTCAGTGCCTCTGTTCCAAGGTTTGGGGATCGTATTTCAGCTGGAGAAATATGATCCAGGGGGTCTTTGGTCAGGCCTCACTCCTGTCAGGAATCTGCCAGCCATACTCTTTCTCTGTTTTAGAATTACACACCGAGACGTGGAAATCTTTAGAAACCATCCTTTATCCAGATGGGTAATTGAGAGCCAGAGCCGGGGGGGACAGATTCTCAGGGCGGATCAGTGGCAGAGCTCGTGTCCTCCCTCCCAGCTCTAGCTCCTTTGGTTACTCGGAGCCAAACAAGACAAAAATCCCTTTCCTGACCGGAGTGAGGAGGTGATGAGGGCAGAGGCGAGGCTTATGTCTCCACCTCAGGGAAGACTAGCCAGTGGCGACTGGTAGCAGCTGTTTTCTTGGCAACTCTAATAGAGACAATGCTGAGGATAAGAACACTCAAGGAGTGTTCTGGTCTGGCACAGAAGGAGCTGGAGACAATGGTGATCCTGATGAGAGGGCTTGGGGTGGGGCAAAGAGCAAAGCATGTCCCTGAGCAGCATGTCTGGCCTCACTTCTGCCCTCCACTGTCTGTCCTGCCTTGAGCTGCACTGCAGGCTGACTGATTAACAGGCTCACGGACCGGGCGCGGTGGCTCCAGCCTGTAATCCCAGCACTTTGGGAGGCCGAGGCGGGTGGATCACGAGGTCAAGAGATCGAGACCATCCTGGTCAACATGGTGAAACCCCGTCTCTACTAAAAATACAAAAATCAGCTGGGCGTGGTGGCGCGTGCCTGTAATCCCAGCTACTCAGGAGGCTGAGGCAGGAGAATTGCCTGAACCCAGGAGGCGGAGGTTGCGGTGAGCCGAGATCGCGCCATTGCACTCCAGCCTGGGTAACAAGAGTGAAACTCCGTCTCAAAAACAAAACAAACAAAAAAAAAAACAGGCTCCCTCCAGCTGTGGGCCAGGGCTGCCCCACACAACCTTGCTTCCTTGCATTCCCTTCAGCAATGTTCCTCTGCTGATCCCTTAAAATCGTTCAAAATGCAGAACGTGAAAATGCTTTCTTAGGCATGTATAGTGTATGCACCTGGGGCGTGTGGGCTGCGGTGGAGGCACACTCTGTCCTGTGTGCATTGTCACTGAGAGGGCTCGGGGAGGCTAGGCTACTTGCATCTGTTTACACCTTTACAGTACATTAATGGTTTCCTTCTTGATTGAAGCGGAGCTCAAAGTACAACTGTCATTGCTCTGTGTTCTTGGTGTCTTTGATGTTGAAAAGGCCGTGTACCTCTGCTTTTGGTGGGGCTCCTGGCCTGTATGCTGCCTCCTAAGACTGGCAGGTGTTGCATATCACCACATGCCAGACACTCACAGGAGAGAAAAATCATCAGGATCAAGAGGCCATATTGGGCTGCTGGCAAATTTAATCTGCAGGCTGGGTGCTCGCTGCTCTCCTGCGTATCCACCCTGCCTAGTATGGGCTGTCCCTAGAAGGGAAGCCTGTGTCCCTCTGAGTGCTGCAACTACTCTCCGGGTTTTACCGTAGCAGTTTTACCTCTGCCTGTTGACCCATCTACCTGTCTGTCATTTGAGTTGGGTGTGAATTGTTTAGGATGTTGCAATTAGAGGTGGTGCGGGCTGCCTGGCTGCTATAAGGCATCTGACATTTGGCTAAGCTCACTGTTGTGTGCTGGGCCTGACACGGTCCTCCTGGTTCCTCTTGTGATGCCTCTGTCTTTTACACAGTCCATAAAACATCTTCAGATGATACAAGCTGGAGTGGACTATTTTTTTTCTTTTACTTTAAGCTCTGGGATACATGGGTTGAACGTGCAGGTTGGTTGCATAGGTATACATGTGCTGTGGTGGTTTGCTACACCCATCAATCCATCATTTAGGTTTTAAGCTCCACATGGATTAGGTATTTGCCCTAACGCTCTCCCTCCCCTTGTCCCCCACCTCCCGACAGGCCCCAGCGTGTGATGTTCCCCTCCCTGTGTCCATATGTTCTCATTGTTCAGCTCTCACTTATGAGTGAGAATATGCAGCGTTTGGTTTTCCGTTTCTGCGTTACTTTGCTGAGGATGACGGCTTCCAGCTTCATCCACGTGGACTATTTTTTCATAATATTCGACCCTTCCCAATTCACGGCTAGGGGACCAAGGCGTGACAGGTGGGGCTGGACAAGGCTGGATTAAGCATTAATGCAGCTGCTGTCACCACTGCCCAGAGGACCAAGTTCACAGAGCCAAGCTGCAGAGCTACTTAGTGTACTCAGGCTGCAGAAGTGGTGACTAGCAGACATGGCTCAGTTTGTCCAGGTCCTGGCTGAAATAGGTGACTTTGGTCGCTTCCAGATATGGCTATGGATCCTGCTGTGTATTCCCAACTTCCTGTGTCCCTTCTACTTTTTTGCCCATGTCTTTATGGTCTTGGATGAGCCCCACCACTGTGCAGTGGCCTGGGTGAAGAACCACACTTTCAACCTGAGTGCTGCTGAGCAGCTGGCACTGAGCGTGCCCCTGGACGATGCAGGCCGCCCGGATCCCTGTCTCATGTTCCGGCCACCCCCCGCCAATGCCAGCCTGCAGGACATCCTCAGCCACCGCTTCAATGAGACGCAGCCTTGTGATCTGGGCTGGGAATATCCTGAGGACAGGCTCCCCTCCCTAAAGAATGAGGTAGGGCTGTCCTTTTGCCAGTCTCTCTACCTGTTGTGGGTCTGTCAGCTCCTGCGCGAGTCTTCGCCCTCGGTCACTGCCTATTTCTGTCTCCGTATCTGCCCCTATGCCCCTGTGGTTGACCATGGGCACCCATGTTTTTCTTTTTGTCCATCATCATTTTCCTCTTTGTCCTCTGCCTGTTGACCCATCTGTCTGTCATGATCTCCGTCCGGTCTGTCTGCCCATCTGTCCCTTTCCGCCCATCCTTTTGTCTGTCCCTCTCTTTCCTTGTCTCTCTGGCTATCTACCCAGTTGCTGGCCTCTCCGCTTTTCCCGTCTTTACACCTTTCTCTCTAACCCCATGTGCTCATCTGTCTGTCCAGCTCTCTCCTTCAGTCTGTCCCTGCATGTCTGCCTACGCCCCTTTTTCCCAGCCCTCTAATGCCATCCCTTTCCCTGTCCATTTGACCGCCTTCCTGTTTGCTGGACTTGGGCTTCAAACCTTTCAGCTTTTCTCTCTAGGTCTCTGCCAGCCTGCCCTAGGGAAGCTGGAGAACAGTCTGGACTCGAGGATTGTCCTGTGGATAACTAAGCGTTCATTCTTGCTAACTTCGTTCTGTTAGGAGAGACGCAGGCAGGTAGGCTCCCACTCTGGCCGCCTCCAAGCAAGCGGGGTCCTCTGAAAGCATCTGGTCCCACTCCGCTGCTTCCCAAATGGTGGGGTTGAGGCCCACAATGAGGAGGTGGCTTAGCTAGGGCGAGGCAGTGAGTTGATCATGGAGCTGGGGCTCTCGTGCCAGACTCCCGCTGTCTAGATTCCCACAGGAGTAGGATGTAGCACAGATAGTCCAGAAACCTGAGGGGCACGGGTGCTGGAGGGGATCTGCGTAATTCCCATCTTCTTTATGGTGGAAAATCTGGGATTAAACATTCACTTCCCCCGCCCCATCCTATGGCTGAAAAAGTATTTATTTTTAGAGGTTTTCAGAGACCAATATGCTAACCAAAGTCTAACTTTTGCTTTTTAATATGTGACCATAACACTGCTCCCAAAAGCCTGGCAGCCTGTGGACCTGTCCCCCTCCCGACTCTCCCCACCCTACCCCACCTGGAGCTCTAGGGGGACCTATGCATGCTCCCAGGCTCTGGGGCTGGCCAGCCTAGCCCCTTCTGACCCTTACCGGGCTCTCCATCATCACCCCAGCATCACAGCCGTGGATCCCAGCCTTCACCAACCCAAACGTGGTGTGGTTTGTATGTGTTAAACTGTCTGCCCACCTGGCCAAATAGGCTCATTCTCAAAGTCCAGAAAACCTTCCTGATTGCTCACAGCCTACCCTAGGCCTTGTTCACACCCCGTGCTGGGCTGTTCATGCAACTGTATTCAGCCAAAGCCCCCTGAGGATTAACTGTGCGGGGGAAGTCGGAGGAGAAAGGTACTTTGTTCCCCTTCAACGAGGAGGACCCCTAGTGGTCAGGAAAGGGCTGGGTGGGTTCTAAGGCCTGGAATTTGCTTCCTCCTGATGGTGGCGGGGTGAGGGTGGGAGTGGGCAGGCAACTTCCCGAAGGAGGTGGTGTGTGTGAACTGGGCACCAAGATACTAGAAAAATGTTGATAGAGGAGAGAGGAAAGCCTTTGCAGGCAGAGAATAGCACAGGAAAGGCCTGGCCCCAGGAAGCAGGCGGGATGTCTGGGAGCAGTGGGTGTGCCTGCAGTGGGTCGGGGTTGACAGGCAGGGGTATAGAAATTAGATGGATGTTTTCAAGGGTTTGGGACCTCTCTTCTTTGGTTTTTGTTTGACACATCTGAAAAGAATGCAGACACAAAGACATCACGTGAGAAAGCACTGGTTAACACCAAGGTAAGAATTAGGATTTGTGGAGGGTGTAAAAAGATTACCTAAACATTTTTAGCAACTGGGAACCACAACCAAAACAAGCCGATAGTATCTCTAACACTGAGGAAGAGTCTTCAGCAGACTCCCCATGACATCTGTTAAACTAGAGAGCCTACACTGGCTGTTGGAAGATTCCTCACACCAAAACAGAAACAAGGGGAGTCCCCTGCCACCCCTTCTCCACCCCCAGCTCCTCGATGAAGCAGACCTCCCTAACTTGAAAGAGGGTGTTAGAATTCCACAGACATCCGTCCCATAGATAGCACCACCCTCACATGTCTTCGGCTGCTGGGTCTTCAGCTGCGTTCTAGGAACACCATGTCACGCACTCTTAAGCTGCCCATTTATGCTAAGCATATGAGAGAATGACTGACAGGAGAGACTTTTTCTTTTTCAGATTATGAACTCACACCATGTGATGTATTTCAAAAGGTGAGATACTTCACCTTTTGATCCACCCTCCTTGGCGTCCCAAAGTGCTGGGACTACAGGCGTGAGTCACTGCTCCCAGCCTAATTTTTGACCCTTAGTTTGACTTACACATTGCTTTTAGTGTGATGCGGATGCAATCTGAGCTGAAAGGGCTCTGTTGAGACGTTCACAGGAGCGCCCGCCTGAGGCTCTTCTCTGGTTCTGGGGGCTTCGTTAACTGCATTTTCAGGCCTTCTCTGTGAGTGCAGAACACTCCACATCCTCAGCAGCCTTCCAGTCCAGGGCCAGCTTTTCGGGAGTCTCTGGAGTGATAGGCTTCCGTTTGTTCTTGGCAAGTTCCTCAACAGCAGAGGGATCATCTCTGAGATGAATCTGGGTCTCTACAGACAAGAACGGGGTCTTTGGACGTGGTGGGCTGTCTCAGGCACTCACTCTTCTTTCACATTTTTGAATGAGGACGGAGATACCACTGCAAAACTGACTAGAAATCCATCTATTTGTGGATACTCAGCAGTTGTGATCTCTTACAACCCTCCTGCCCTGAAGCATCAAAAAGTCCGAGTATACGGCTCTCCGCCAACCACAACTGTGACCACACAGTTGTCAGAAACGGTACATTTTCAGGTGTGAATTTGTTGTGTAGGATATCAGCAGATATGTTTTACCAGGGGCATCACTGCCCACAACAGGACACTTAATGGTCTGCATTGCTGAAACCGTTTTGTATTTACTTTAAATATTACAGGCTCAATGTTGACTTCAGTCTCTCCCTGGGGTGTGGCGGCACTCAGGACCTCTCTCCTAGACGGTGCTGGCACTGTGCTTGGACCTTGGGCCTCTTGCCCTATGTTAACATGCTCTCCTCACTCCCACTCTTCCAAAGACTGTGACTCCCAGGGAAATGTACACTTTGTGCCCTGCACCACAGATAATCCCAAGCTTGGTCCGAGTGCAGTCGGCTTGGTGTGAGTTCTTTTTTTTTTTTTTTTTTTTTTTTGAGATGGGGTTTCAATCTGTCACCAGGGGCCAGGCTGGAGAGCAGTGGC